TTCTCCCTAAAAGATACAAAGTATTGAAATCACAAATCTCCAAAAGCCAAATCTGGTTTCTTCTGTAAAAAGTAGCGTAGTATAATGTAGAAAATAGGAAAAGAAGATATATGGAGGCTGCTGGTGGCTGGGGGAGAAAAATAGGAGAATTAGGGCAAATCCCGAAATATGTTGTATTTTCCTTAAAAATCGCTGCCGCAGGAACAGCTGTTCCGCGAGACTGTTCCGCGTGAAAATTCCCAAATTGCACTCTTTTTCTCCAACTGGTCCATCTTCCATCCAAAGCAACTTCATACCTGTAATGACTTAAAAAGGACTAAAAAGACTCGATAAAGACTCAAAAACACTTTACAAAACATTGTTAGAATATGCTAAAAACACCATATATCAGGTTCCTTGGTTGTTCTCTCAGATTGTGTGTACGAGAGACACCAGTAGAACGTTATAGAAGTGAATGAGACTAACTACATAAGTTGTAATGCTGATAACCCGATCGCTAATTGATAAGTTTTAAAGTATTCTTTATACATACTTAAATCATTATTAGTAAAAATCATTTAATTTTTTACATATATATATATATATATGTGTGTGTGTGTGTGTGTGTGTGTGTGTGTGTGTATGGAATATTGTTTCTTTGCCAATTTCAGGTCTAAAATCTTTGTTAATAATTGACAGATGTATAATCTTTTTCTTTGAACGACTAATGCATTAATCTCAAAGAGTTTACAAACTGTTGAAGAAGTTTGCCAAAGCCATCTTCGCGAGATTTTCAGCAGAAAAATTGTCTTTACAAGAAACAAAAGAAAATACAAATGTGGAGAGATAACAAGTTAAGTTGTGGATGTCTTGAAGAATTCCAAAAAGTCCCTTGATTTTGTCTCGTCCATTGATAGCCCTGATTAGAGACTGGGCGTCTGATCTGATAGCGATGTTGTTGTAGCCATGGTTCCGTGCTTGGGGAAGTGCATGTTGAATGGCAAGCACTTCCGCCATGATTGGCGAGCTCACCCATTCCTCTGTTGCACTACCTTGTTGAATCATCCTCCCATGGGTATCAAAGAAAATCCAAGCCAACCCTGCGGTTTTTGTCTCTTCCTTCCAAGCTTCATCTGTGTTGATAAAGATAGTTGCCACTGATTGTGAGTTCTGTGCCACCTGAATTTCACTTGTTTTCATGAGCTCACGCTGTGCTTCTTGCCATTCTCTAGCATCAGCTGTTGCTTTTGTGAGAATGTTCCTCTCATTTAAACTCATGTTTGCAAAAATCTTATGATTCCTAGCTAGCCAAATATTCCAAACAATCCATAGAAACAAAGAACCAAGAAATACTCCTATGGGTGGTAGATTAGTTTGTTTCCTTGATGTTTGTAGTGCAGATGTTAAGGTTGTAATTGCTGCATTAATATAGCCAGTAGTTATTGGGGCGAGATTCCAAATGGATGCAGCGAATTGGCATGAGATAAATAGGTGATCCGCCGTTTCTCTCAAGCCGCAAAAGACGCACTTGGTATTTGCTGTTAGACCTCTCGTTTCCAAATTTTTGCCTAATGGGAGAGCTCCTTTGATAATCTTCCAGAGAAAAACTCTAATTTTTGGTGGTATTGGTAGCGTCCAGATATCCTTCATTCAGTTGCAGGGGCTGGGGTTTGTTTTTGTCATCACTGTTGTTATTTCTTCCGAGCAGGGGTCGTTTATAGCTGTATGGTAGCCTGATTTGGTCGAGTAGTCTCCATTCGATGTCAATGCCCAGATGTATGTGTCTGCAGCTCCTGTGGTGCTAGGCTTGATACATAAAATAGCTGGTGCTAGTAGTTGCAGTAATATCTCTTTGTTCCATTCCTTTGTTCCAACATGAAACAGGTCCGCTACCTTGAAATCTTTTGAGGGAAAGTCGGGTGGTCTCATGGGTTTAATCACCTTTTCTGTTGAGCACCATGCCTCAGACCATATGTTGGTGTTTTCGCCATTACCTATGGCTTTTGTAGTGTGACTTCGGATTATATCTCTGCCGCAAAGGATACTCCTCCATCCATGGGAGCAAGAACTTGAAGCTTCATTTTTCAGAAAAGTTTCAGTTTTGCAATACTTTCCAAGGAGAACCTTAGCAAGTAGGCAGTCCGGTTTCTGTAAAATCCTCCAGCTTTGTTTGGTAAGGGGAGCATCACTGAAAGCTTCAATATCCCAAAATCCCAAACCTCCATCTTTCTTAGGTTTTGCTAGCTTATCCCAAGATATCCAACACATTTTATTTTTCCCCGGCTCACAGTCCCACCAAAAACGTGTTAAAGCTGATTGAATCCTCTTTGTTAAGCTCTTTGGGAGCTTAAAACATATCATCGCGTGTGACGGTATGGGAGATAGTACTGACTGTAACATAGTCATCTTGCCAGCTGATGATAGTTGTCTAGTACTCCAGCTAGCAGTCTTCTAGTTTATACGGTCAACTATGGATGTGAATAGATCTTTTTTCCGTCTCCCAAAGTGCTCCGGGAGACCAAGATACTTTCCTACACCTCCTTCCTTAGCAAAACCAAGACTGATCTTTACTCGCATACGAACTTCAGGGGGAGTTTGTTTGGAAAATGTGATAGCTGATTTTGCGGCATTTATTTTTTGTCCCGATGCAGCTTCATACTTTTTAATCACTATCATAAGCGCCTCAACACACTTCTCATTTGTCTTTGTAAAAAACATTGTGTCGTCCGCAAAGAGTAGATGATTTATTTTGGACAGCTTTGTGCTACTTGTATGCCTACTAGTGTGCCTCGTCTTTGCGCCTCTGCACACAATCCAGAAAGAACCTCGCTGCATAGTATGAAGAGGTATGGTGAAAGCGGATAACCTTGTCGAATCCCCTGTGTAGGAGTAATCAGCCCTTATGCTTCTCCATTAAATAGGACTGAGTACTTGAACGATGTGAGGCACTGTATCACCCATCTACATAAGTCATCATGAAAACCAAAGCATTTGAGCACCGCTTCTATAAAATTCCACTCCGATCTATCATATGCTTTCCTCATGTCAATTTTGACCGCCATAGAGCAATATTTCGTAGCTCCCGATCGTTTCAGATAGTGGAGAGTCTCGTGAGTTATCATGACGTTATCCCTAATTGCTCTACCCTGGATGAAGGTTGATTGATTATCTGAGATTATATGCTCAAGGACTGGTGGAGTCGCCTCATAATGATTTTTGAGATAATTTTATAGAATACATTGCACAAAGCAATTGGTCTATAGTCCGCTACTGACTTTGTTGATGTGATCTTCGGGATGAGCTGTAGATGCGTGAGGTTGATGTTTTGTGGCCATACTCCATCTCTGAAAAATCTGATGATTTCATCTGTTATGGATGGGCCGACAACCTTCTAGTTTGTCTTGAAAACACCTGCAGAAAAACCATCCGGGCCTGGTGCTTTGTCCAGGTGTATGGAGAATAGAGCATCTCGCACTTCTCTAGCTGTTGGTAAGGCCGTGAGTTTGATATTTGTTGCGTCTGTTACTCTACAATGGAGAACTTCAGAAACGGTTTCTTCTGGATCAGAGTTACTACTGGTGAAAAGATTGGAGAAGTAACCAGTAATAACATCTAATATCCCAGGCTCCTCGTGTACAGCTTCTCCCGATGTGTTCTCGATCACTGAGCATGTATTCAAACCCCTTCGAACTCTGGTCGTGTCATGGAAAAAGCCTGAATTCCTGTCACCTAGAGCTAACCAGAAAGTTCTGCTTTGTTGTCTCCAATACTCTTTTTCTTCCTTGTAGGCATGTTTGAGTGATTGGTTTATTCTTCTGATCATGTCTTCATTCGTCGCGCTGTTAGACATAGCTTCCTCTAGTCTGTTTTTTTTTTCCTTTTTTATCTTTTACTGGCTATTCTCATGAAAGCTCTTATTCCACTTGGAAATGGCATGGCGACAAGCAGATATCTAACTTTCCACTGATGAGCAATTATTGAGCCAAGTTTCTGCGATAATTTTTTTAACCTCCTCGTTTTTTCACAGCCGACTATCATACCGAAACAGACCTCTTCTCTTCCTTGTCACAGGCTCAAGGATACGGTGTGAGAATATCTTACTCCTCTCCAGGAAGAAAATTCCCAGAATGACGAACGTCAAAGAGATCGCATTTCGACATGAAAGTTGTGAAATTCTCAAAGGATCCTTCCGTCCTTATATTGCCACCTTCTTTCTCACTGTTTTCAATTATCTCATTGAAGTCTCCCGTGAGAAACCATGGTTGAGGTCTTGCTAGACCAATTTCAGTGAGTTGTTGCAGAACCTGTTTGCGATGTTGCAAATCTGGTGAACCACAAGTGAAAGTCGAGAAAAAAAATTTCTTCTTATAGATAATTTCAGTGTCCAGAAAGTTGTCGCATCAAGACAGTACAGATAGTTCCACGTTAGGATTTCAAAATAAAGATAGTCCACCACCTCCAACAGAGTGGGGCTGGACATGAAATGCAGATGAAAAGTTAAGATGATCCAGCTTTGATGAGATGAACTCTAGGAATTTTTCGTCTCTATAAGAAAGATTATATCCGGATCTAATTCCTTCTTGAGATCCGTCAATCTCTGAACTGTTGTAGGATTCCCTAACCCACAACAGTTCCAGATCAGAATTTTTAAGGAAGAGGTGGTCGCGGACCTTGAAAATCCGCATTCCTCCTTTTGTTTGATGTCCCTGCAGTTAGGTTCCCGGTCAGTGGTATTGCAGGGCTTGAAACTTCCTCCTCTTCTCCCCTTTTATCTGAAGTAGCTGTAACTCTTTGTGGTGGTCTAGGTATGGGTGTTCTGCGGGAATTGAATGTTTGTCTAGAGACATTTTGCATGTCACTCGTACTTTGGCTAGCATACGATTTCCTGACTCGTGGGGAGTTTTGAGTCGCGTAGACCTTTCTCTTCTTGGAGTTTCCTCCCCTTAGTAGTCCATTCTTTGTTGAATTTGCTGGCTTTGTTGGTTTTGTTGATTTCCCAGGTGGTCGGCCTCTTCTCTTCTTTAGCGTCGGGCATATAGATTCATTTTCTGTAATACAGATATTTCCTTCAGTTTCCATAGCAGCATGAAAGCATTATTACTTGCTGTGGTGTTAACTGTTGCATTAACTGTAGTGATGGTTGTGTTGTTGGTAGATTTCAAGGCCTGAGCTAACAGCGAAGCAGTCGTTTCAGCCATTTCATTGTGAGTCTCGCCTTCTAGGACTCTTTGATGTCGTTCTTCACGCTCCACTGGGTCAGGTACGTTCACATACTTCATTCTTACGTCATGTAGATCGCTGAGTATTTCCTCATGTAGTTGTTGATTGGTTACATGGTCTGTACGATCCACATGAGTTGATAGTGCTGCTGGGGAGGTAAAGGGTGTGTTCAGCTGATCATTTGTGCTAGACGGAGATTTTTCCTTTTACACCATATTTGAAGCCCTCGGTTTTCTCCCAAAGGAGAGGGAGCGTCTACGAGATTCATCTCTAAGTTGGCCAAATTGATTCCTGAGAGTTGATGTGGCCCCTCGGTGGGGGTGCTCCTCAGTCTCCTTTCTGCGGTATGAGTGAGAATCCGCAGGTGAGTGTGAGTCATCCTTATTATCTCTTTTTTATTGGCGAGCTGTTGGGGACATGTTGAGTCGACCTTTTCTGGTAAGTAGTTTCTCTTTCCTTGTATAGAAGTGGTTGAATTGCAAGGATCCGTAGTGGTGAGTCGAGTATAGAAGTGGTTGAATTGCAAGGATCCGCAGTGGTTAGTCGAGGTGAGCAAATGTTGACAGGTCTTACGTTTAGGAGCTGTTGTTGACGCCGGTTGAAGTCATGTCGCCTTCATCCCTTCCTTTGAGATGCGTTGGCCGGATCCGCCGACTGGTTGTCGGGGTGGAACCCGAGAAAAGTTGTCCAAGCAGTTTCAGATTTGAGAAAATACTCAATAGGAAGAGACCAGGTTGGTGAGGATTACAGGTTTGTTTAGTGTTTCAGAATAGAGCTTGAAAAGGAAATAAAACTGGGTTGGTTAAAAGCCGGGAAGATAAGCCTGTTTTAGATTTACTGCATAGGGGTTAGTGCGTGGGAGAACTTTTCCTCTCGTCTCGACTAATATCCGACAGATGTATGATCCTATTTGAATTTGTGTGGTAATCTTGCGGCCACAGTAAAGCCAAAACACATTAATCTACAACTTTATGGTTGTATCATCCAAAATATTCGTTCAAATGTGATTGGTGTATTTATTTTTCTTTCATAATTTAAATGTTTCGTCGACAGGATTATATTTGTATCCAACTTTAATCCGTGAGTTAATTCTCCTTCGCTTACGACCAAATTTTGGCAAAAAAAAAAAAAAAAAATCCGAGCTACAACGTTCTTGTACCTTTTTACAGTCAAACTTTAAAGGTTTTTAACTTAATACCTTTCAACTAACTAAAAAAAAAACTTAATACATGAATATACTAAACATTTTCGTTTAAAACGTGGTTAATCATAAGATTAAGAGCAGCTTTATTATAGGGTATTGATTAATAAATGAGCGAATTATCAAGTCAAACAGATCTAAAATTGGAAAGATGCTTGGGCATGGAGGTGACATGACAACGATAATCAAGCTTATTAAACTCTTAATATTCGTATAGTTCCACCGCCGTACAAATAATCACACCTAAAATATTATATAGTTATGCATGTTTAAATGGGTTATCATTCAACTAACTAAGCTTAATTTATATAGAGATATAGTTATTAAAGAGAATAATGATCCCATCTAAACGACTCTTCGCGTATTTGATAAGGTGGCAGGCTGGCAGTAGTAATGAACCTTGTAAATATGTCCTCAGTTTCTTGAATTAGTAAGAACCATATCATATAGATATAGAACATCAACACATGTCACGCTACAACTCATTTCTCAAAAAAAAGCTTTATCATACAACTCAAAACCAAATGACACTGAACAGATTGACTATTAACATTTTATACATAGTTTATTACTAATAGCTTAACTACCTTTTAAGTTAAAAGGTATTAATTGTTTGATATATGTATTAAGTTAAAGTTTGAATTACCGATGTAAGGTAGCTGCTGATGTAAGACTTCCACTATATGTTGATATTTCATATTCAGTGTGGATACATGTTCAAACAACATCTATACGGAGATCCAACATCCAATGATTCAAATACCTTTGCTAAAGTGGATGCATTCTAATACATCTGTATAGCACATTCTGTCAAACAACTTGTTGTGTTTTACTATCAAAATATTTACATTTACCATATCGCCTTTCCAAATTGAGTGTTAATGAATATTAAATTTACATTACATTTTACGTTAATGAATGTTAAATTTGTTGCAGATGTTTTCTTAAATGGTGTCTTAAGTTTGCTGATTGTTAGGCACCAAAGGTATCCCGTATCTAGGTAGCACTAGATTCAAAAAGAGTAAGAATGTACAAGATGGTGAATCGATAAACATGATGGAGAATGTACATAGAAATGATAAATAGTGGAGAGACCTAATAAAACATTGTGAAATGGAATATAATCATAAACGAGTCACATCTTCAAAAAAGATCATGTCACATGCAACCACCTCATATTTTGGCCGGTTTATCAGCCATACACATTGATTACAGCTCACATTTGTCGCTCCTTAATTTTTTGTTGTTCATATCCATTTGGTTTCTTGTCACTCTAATCTCATCTTTATGTTTTACTATCCCATTTTGAATTTTGAAGCTCCTCTATCTTTAGGGTCCACCACACCACAACCCTTATTTCAATCACTTCAAACCGGCCATTTTTTCTCATACGAAAAAGTCCGTTCCAAACAGCTGATATGTTTTTGCATTTTAGACATAAAGCCGCTCTATACAAAAAAAGTGTCAGACATTTTTTTTTCTATTTCAAAAAACGATATAAAGCTCAAACTTCAATAGAATTATCTTCTTCCTTTTTTAGAAAGTCCAATAAAATTATCTTATTTTCATGTTTTTAACATTTTAATCTTTCCAAATGTCAAACAAAACATATAATATTAGTTTCATCACAAACATCACTTGGAGTATGTGATCTAGGCTTTGGCTAGGGGGCTTTTCCATTTGATTTAACGATACTTAAATAACTTGAATACTCACTAATTTTGTTGTACTAGTTTTACTTTGTTGTTTAGATAGTGAAAATTTCGTGAAGACTAACCAGTAATCACGACTAAGTCATGAATTATATAGTATAACCACATATAGTAAAAGCATAACTATAAACTAGAGTTTGACCCGTACGTTCGCACGGGTGTTTGTTTTTAATTTATTTATAAATAAACATTTTTTCTATAATTGTAGTATATATTTTTAAAATTTCTTCATATTATGTAGTTGTTTGATATAAAGTTTCTAAATATAATAATTTTATTGTTATAATGAATAATTTATCTTATTTTTGAACTATAAATTGTTATTGGCACATTTCTATAATATACACCATGTTTCCATGCGAAAATATTTTATTTTTAATAATAAATAAATAGATATTGAATGTGTGTTTAATATAGAATGTTTAAACATTTTGTATAGATATTTGCTTATAAATAATTACTACATGCAATAAGTTATATATTAAGTTGTATTATGTTCATTTTTATTGATTGGATTATATATAAATTTGTGGTGGACTCTATAATATTCTATTATACTAAACCCACGTGGATATGATATAATAGTAACACACACAATCTATAATATTATTCTGTTCTAAACTTTTAACTAAGTCGTATCTTTTGAAAATATATGCTAATCAATTTTAAATACTTGTTGTAATTGCTTCTGCAGAATATGGAAACTAATTCTGAAAGGTATTTTTAATTTATTCACAGTAATAGAAGTATATTGATACAGTGGCATGTTTTGTAATATTTGAGGAAAATTAAGGGGTGTTATCTATTTGTACTTCTGTTTTAATATTTTAGATATGGGTGCGTATTTATTTTGGAACACATATGGGTGCGTTATACATATACTAGGATAAGACCTGCGTCTTGCACAGGATAAATTCAATAAAAAAAATTATTTAAAAAAATTATATGAAAAAAATAAATCTATCTTCTTGATTGTAATAATATTTTGGTCTTTAAATTTCTTTTTTTACTTTTTTGTTAATTACATAATTTGTTTACTGATGAGCTGATCTCATTTTTAAAAATGTTTTATGTCAAAATATCACTTACCACAAAGAACGTAACGTTTAGATAAAAGTTCTCGGGTCTATTTGGTTACAATGAAACTATGTTAGCTCGATTTATATCGTGATTTAGCAATTTAAAAATTAATTATGGTTATAAAAAGTTTACGTTCACGTGCCAATCCTATCTATCTTCGATTTTTTTGTGTATTTTCTCATTTTGGTTATTGCTCGATATAAATATTGATTTTGAAGTTTATTCTCATTTTGTTTGTTTGTTTTAGCCTAAGATTTAGATAATGCTTAAAAATAATTAAAGAGGCACATACTTAGGTTAAAATCAGCACTTTTTGCAGAATAAGTATTTTATATTTCTTATTTATTTTATGTTTTTCTGCATATTATGAAATAATAAAATAATAAGTATATATATTAAATAACTAGAAAATAAGTTATTATTAAGTAATAAATTGGCATGTGCATATAAATATAATGATCACTCTTGTCTATTCGCAATTAGAGTTAATAAATCAAAAATATCAATCTTATCTATCTTATATGATATATAATTAAATTTAAATGATATTAACATATATATAGCACACTTTTAATATGTATATTTATTAAATGAGGTTTGTACTCATATGATTTTATGATTATTTGCATATTTTTATAACAAAATTTTACACCAATGATTTTTTTCTAATGTGAGATGTTTAGTAGTTTCAATAATTTATAATCATTTAAACAAAAAGAATGACAGATTTTAAATTCAAATATTAACTTCTCAATATATGTTCAATGCAAATATCAAAATATTAGTATGCATTTTTATATGATGTATAGTTTAATTTAAATGATATGAAATATATATATATATATTAACATAAAACCTATTAAAATAAAATTATTTATTCATATTCTCTTATAATAATTGTATTTTAATATAGAACAAAATTTAAACCTTGATCATAAAGGCTTATGTACGACTTTTAACAGTTTTAGTAATTTATACTCGTTTTGAAAAATTCGAAATACAACATACACAAAAACAAATCTAGATTTTTATTAATCATTAATGTAATTGTGTAATTTATTTTAATAATAAAGAAATAAACAAAATGATAAAAGTATAGAGGCTGTTATCAAATATTTATTGTTTAAAATCATTAATTCACATATATATATATGAATCACGTTAGGTAATTCTGTAGATTTTATTTAAGGAAAGCTTGCGGAACAATTTTGATATATGCGATCAATTATAAATTAATACTCGATAAATTAATATACACTAAATATATCTATAAATTAATATAATTTTATAGTCCCAAATTGAGTTTTTGGTTCAATTACTATATCTATAAATTGATATCTCTCTAAATTAATAAAAAATAAATAAATTTGGTGTAATCCCAACTTTATTAATTTATAGAGGCTTCACTGTAAATTGAAATAGAAAACATAGAAAAGTTAGAGTTATTTTTTAATTAATACAAACTTAAGGTTACAATTTTTCAAATATTTCTTAATTAATATATAGAGATAATCTTGCTCTTTCGAGAGTGGTCGGTTCCACGTAAATTTCATTATTTTAGTCTTTTTAGGTAACTTCCTAACACAAGTCACGAATAGGAATAGCTAGCTAGAGAGTAAAATGGAAACACACATGAGATCATTTAATCATTTGTGTTCAACCCACCAGAAAAATAATCTCATAACTAATTAGTTAAGTTTAAATATATTTTATGCATGTGTATATGATGAGACTCCTATATAAAAAGAGAATGACATGCAAAAGGTCTTATCATCTTCTTCATTAAGCAGAATAAAACTTTCAAACACTTTTTCATTCTTCGTCTAAAACAATGGCAGGAGTTGCTTTTGGTTCTTTTGATGATTCTTTCAGCTTGGCTTCTCTAAAGCTTACCTCGCTGAGTTCATCTCCACTTTGCTCTTTGTTTTCGCTGGTGTTGGTTCTGCCATTGCCTACGGTTTGTAACTAAACATATCTAAATAGGTTTTCATAATCTGTAACAATGGGTCCATTATACTGAATGAATGTGTCACATTTATGTTATATAGGAAAGCTGACGTCGGATGCGGCTTCTTGATACGCCGGGGCTTGTCGCCATCGCTGTGTGCCATGGTTTCGCCCTCTTCGTGGCGGTTGCTATCGGAGCCAACATCTCTGGTGGCCATGTGAACCCAGCCGTCACTTTTGGCCTTGCTCTCGGTGGTCAAATCACACTCATCACCGGAGTTTTCTACTGGATTGCTCAACTTCTCGGCTCCACCGCCGCTTGCTTCCTTCTGAAGTTCGTCACCGGTGGTTTGGTATGTCCTAATCACAACGTCATTACTAATATAATAAAATTGTGTTTCCACTAGTAGAACTATACCTGCACAAAAATCCAACTTTTCATTACAAGAAAAGAAGAAACCAATTAAATATCTAACCAGTTTTAGCAAAATTAGCCTTTCAGACCAAGGTTGAATTGGTCTAGTGGTAAAGGAGTTGCAGCTGTAACTTCCGCCACTTAGATTCAATTCATGTTGGAAAAGACTATTTACATTGCTTGAATTCCCGGCAAAGAGGTGAAACCATAAAAAAAATTAGCCTTTGGGATACAAAAAGTTATGACATCATAGCTTTGTTGCTCTACATAAATAAAAAATCATAGTCTAGGGTGTTGGAAGACAGATCTTAATCGAATATAAAAAGGTTACAACCTAAGATAGTAGTTTACAAAGTCAAAACAAATACACAAAAATGTTTTTCAATATTAAAAAAATATAATATTATAAGTTTTTGTCTAATTCAAATGAACTAACAAAACAAACGCCTTGAACTATTCTAAAACGCAGGCGGTTCCAACTCACAGCGTTGCAGCTGGACTAGGAGCGATAGAAGGAGTAGTGATGGAGATCATAATCACATTTGCTTTGGTCTACACTGTCTACGCCACAGCTGCTGATCCCAAAAAAGGTTCTCTTGGAACCATCGCTCCTCTCGCCATTGGGCTCATCGTTGGTGCCAACATCCTCGCTGCTGGTCCATTCTCCGGTGGATCCATGAACCCAGCACGTTCCTTTGGGCCAGCTGTTGCTGCTGGAGACTTCTCTGGTCACTGGGTCTACTGGGTTGGACCACTAATTGGTGGCGGACTTGCTGGACTTATCTACGGAAATGTTTTCATGACTTCCGAACATGTGCCTCTTGCATCTGACTTCTAAGCATATCAAATGTGATGATTCTTGATTCATATCTCTGTGTTTGATTTCTTTGTCTCTCGATCAATTTGTTGTTTTGTTTGGAGTCCCATTTCGTTGTAATTGATTATCCAATCTGTATGAATATCATTTAGTGGAATGCTATTTGGTTATACCTTTAAACATTTCATTTAATGATTTGTTGGGAAACTTCTAAACTACTTTGATCAGATCATTAAAAAATTGGTATTTGGTTTAAGATCTTGGTTTGCTATCTTATCCTACGTTACATTTAGCGGAATTGTATGAAAAGATAGAAATGAATTCCTTTTAAAAAAATAGGAAACAGATCCATGTTGGCAATGTATATATATATATATATATATATATATATATATATATATATATATATATATATATATATATATATATATATATAATGCAAACCCACATATAAAATAATATCTGAAATTTAAAAATGTCTAAATCACACAAATCCAACAAAGTCAAAATCCAACAAAGTCTTAAACATCAAGCAACTCAACTGAAAATAAAAACGTTCAATGTCAAAAATCAATTGTTTCACTCATTTTCATATTTTCCATCAAACACAATAGTCTCTAGCTCGGGTTCATCTAAAGAAAGATCTTCGAACTCAAGTTTTCCTATATTAAAATCATCCAAAGAATTAAATTGGTCACCTCCAACATCTCACATCTTGTTAAGCCTTCTTTGTAAGCACCATTTCTTCTAGATAAGAGACGAAGATTAGTATGCACAAATACAAAATATTTAGCTTTTTGTGGCATAATCTTGTTTCTTGTTGCAGAATGGATGAACTTGTAAGTGTTCAAGTTCCTTTCACAACATGAAGATGATGTAGAAGGCTGTCCAAACAACTAAAATGCTAAGGCTTGAAGCTTTAGAGATGAAGATTCATGAACTGCCTACCATCCTAAAGGCTCTAAAATAAATCTATCATGGATTGCATCAACACTACCAAAAATTTCAAGCTTAAAGAGAAAGTAGGTGTTTTGCCCGCACATGCAGGCTTAATTATATTTAAGTTAATTTAAAAAATTATCAAAATAAATGATTATTTGCATCCAAATAATTCGAACTAAAACATTAAACTTTTCTACATTGACAAAATTATTCACAAATTAAAAACAAATCTATGTTTTCCTTTAAAATTTTGAAAAATCTAAAATCTATTTTATTTCTTCGTAATTGATAAAAAAATTTAGAAATCTATCTTTCAATTTGAAAAATTGAATCGAGAAATATACATTCAAAAATTGATCTTACAGAAAGAATAAAATTAGTTTGGATACTAATACAATATGTTTGAATTTATTTTTATCAAACATGTATTTTCTTTCTTTTTGAATGATCTTTTGTTTTATATGATTAATTCATGTTTAAGGTTTAACTATATAAAATATAAACATAAATTTAATTTAACGTGTGAGTTCAGAGACGAAAAATAACTTCACGAATATATATCATTATATTATATTATATTATTATATTATTTTAATTTGAAAATGATTATGTATTCTATATTTTTCAATTTCTCTTTTGAATTATATACAATTAAAAATTGTACTTTATAAATATTTATTTATGTGTTTTCTGTTTTTGAATTTTTTTTATCAAAAATATATTTTCTAGATAACAACACAATATATAAGAGTTATCTTTTTATTTTATTTTTAAATATATATTTAGATTATGGATAATTCTTATCATTATTATTAATTTAAATCATTTATCTAATCAAATAAATATTAAATTCTTTTTTATTTTTAGCTGATTTATATATTTCATTCATTAAGGGTTTAAACGATATTAACCACTCTAAGTTTTAACATGAGAGCTCCATTGCGAAAAATCACTTCGTAAATAATAGTATAGATTAAAAAATTTACTTTATGAATATTTATTTATGTGTTTTCTATTTTTTTATCAAAAATATATTTTCCGGATAACAACACAATATATATAAGAATTATCTTTTTAATTTTATTTTTAAATATATATTTATATTATGGATAATTCTTATCATTATTATTAATTTAAATTATTTATCTAATCAAACAAGTATTAAATTCGTTTTGTTTTTTATTTTTGGCTGATTTATATATTTTATTCATTAAGGGTATAAACGATATTAACCACTCCAACTTTTAACGTGGGAGCTCCGTTGCGAAAAATCATTTTATTTTTAAATATATATTTAGATTATCGATAATTCTTATCATTATTATTAATTTAAATCATTTATCTAATCAAATAAATATTAAATTTGTTTTTATTTATAGCTGATTTATATATTTTATTCATTAAGGGTTTAAACGATATTAACCACTCTAACTTTTAACATGAGAGCTCCATTGCGAAAAATCACTTCATAAATAATAGTATAGATTAAAAATTTACTTTATGAATATTTATTTATGTGTTTTCTATTTTTTTATCAAAAATATATTTTCCGGATAACAACACAATATATATAAGAATTATCATTTTAATGTTATTTTTAAATATATATTTATATTATGGATAATTCTTATCATTATTATTAATTTAAATCATTTATCTAATCAAATAAGTATTAAATTCATTTTTTTATTTTTGGCTGATTTATATATTTTATTCATTAAGGGTATAAACGATATTAACCACTCCAACTTTTAACGTGGGAGCTCCGTTCTGAAAAATCACTTCGCAAATAATAATATAGATTAAAAAAATTACTTTATGAATATTTATATATGTGTTTTCTATTTTTTTATCAAAAATATATTTTCCGGATAACAACACAATATATATAAGAATTATCTTTTTAATTTTATTTTTAAATATATATTTAGATTATCGATAATTCTTATCATTATTATTAATTTAAATCATTTATCTAATCAAATAAATATTAAATTCGTTTTTATTTTTAGTTGATTTATATATTTTATTCATTAAGGGTTTAAACGATATTAACCACTCTAACTTTTAACATGAGAGCTCCATTGCGAAAAATCACTTCATAAATAATAGTATAGATTAAAAAATTTACTTTATGAATATTTATTTATGTGTTTTCTAATTTTTTATCAAAAATATATTTTCCGGATAACAACACAATATATATAAGAATTATCTTTTTAATTTTATTTTTAAATATATATTTATATTGTGGATAATTCTTATCATTATTATTAATTTAAATCATTTATCTAATCAAATAAGTATTAAATTCATTTTTTTTTATTTTTGGCTGATTTATATATTTTATTCATTAAGGGTATAAACGATATTAACCACTCCAACTTTTAACGTGGGAGCTCCGTTGTGAAAAATCACTTCGCAAATAATAGTATAGATTAAAAAATTTACTTTATGAATATTTATTTATGTGTTTTCTATTTTTTTATCAAAAATATATTTTCCGGATAACAACACAATATATATAAGAATTATCTTTTTAATTTTATTTTTAAATATATATTTATATTATGGATAATTCTTATCATTATTATTAATTTAAATCATTTATATAATCAAATAAGTATTAAATTCGTTTTTTTTTTATTTTGGCTGATTTATATATTTTATTCATTAAGGGTATAAACGATATTAACCATTCCAACTTTTAACGTGGGAGCTCCGTTGCGAAAAATCATTTTATTTTTAAATATATATTTAGATTATGGATAATTCTTATCATTATTATTAATTTAAATCATTTATCTAATCAAATAAATATTAAATTCGTTTTTATTTTTAGCTGATTTATATATTTTATTCATTAAAGGTTTAAACGATATTAACCACTCTAACTTTTAACATGAGAGCTCCATTGCGAAAAATCACTTCGTAAATAATAGTATAGATTAAAAAATTTACTTTATGAATATTTATTTATGTGTTTCTATTTCTTTATCAAAAATATATTTTCCGGATAACAACACAATATATATAAGAATTATCTTTTTAATTTTATTTTTATATATATATTTATATTATGGATAATTCTTATCATTATTATTAATTTAAATCATTTATCTAATCAAATAAGTATTAAATTCGTTTTTTTTTTATTTTTGGCTGATTTATATATTTTATTCATTAAGGGTATAAACGATATTAACCACTCCAACTTTTAACGTGGGAGCTCCGTTGTGAAAAATCACTTCGCAAATAATAGTATAGATATTTAGATTATGGATAATTCTTATCATTATTATTAATTTAAATCATTTATCTATTCAAATAAATATTAAATTCGTTTTTATTTTTAGCTGATTTATATATTTTATTCATTAAAGGTTTAAACGATATTAACCACTCTAACTTTTAACATGAGAGCTCCATTGCGAAAAATCACTTCGTAAATAATAGTATAGATTAAAAATTTTACTTTATGAATATTTATTTATATGTTTCTATTTTTTTATCAAAAATATATTTTCCGGATAACAACACAATATATATAAGAATTATCTTTTTAATTTTACTTTTATATATATATATATATATATATATATTATGGATAATTCTTATCATTATTATTAATTTAAATCATTTATCTAATCAAATAAGTATTAAATTCGTTTTTTTTTATTTTTGGCTGATTTATATATTTTATTCATTAAGGGTATAAACGATATTAACCACTCCAACTTTTAACGTGGGAGCTCCGTTGTGAAAAATCACTTCGCAAATAATAGTATAGATTAGAATATTCAATTAACTTTTCTCCTTTCATCTTGATTTGGAAAATACTTCATGATGTAATTTTTTTCTTTCTCTAGTAATCTCCAAATCTTGATTTGGACATTTTCCATTGTTTTCTTCTTCAAGCTACTCTGAACTATAATATATGAATCCAACAAAATAAACAATAATAATTTGTTACTTAAATAACTAACGAACTGTTTAAATTTTAGTTTATAAGATAATAAACCAAACGAAATAGAAAAGACTTAAAATTTACTTGGGATTTAGAGAATGTGCCATACAATTGAGAGTAGTGTTACTCTTACTCCAACAAGAGGTCAAAAGAGACTGCACAACATTCCAAAAAATGAGTCATCTTCAAGTTCTTCCTTTCTTTTCTAAAGATAAATTTTTTGACAGTATGTATCATGCTTTCCCACCACTCATAAACCAGATGAAGTGAAG